ATATATGGTTGTAACATAACTTGTTCAAAGTCACAACCATCAGTTCCTAAATATAATTTTTAAAACTATTAAACTAGACCTTTTGATCTGACATCATGATTTGTTGAATTTCAAGTAGTGTATATAAGCATTAATTTGAAAGCATGACGCAGGGGCCAGAAAGAGAGTACAGCGGATAGGCCACTTGCCTTGCATATATGTGGCTAGTCTGCTTCTTTCTTTTCCTCTTTACATTTCTCTTGCTCCTTCCTCCCCCACCACATACACACAGAGTTTCCTAACCTCAGTTGTGTTGCAGAGACCAAGAGTTTTTTTCCCAGCTAGCTGTCCATTCCCCTGCTTTGTTTCTCTGGATACAACAATTGATGATTCATTTTGTTTAACTTATAGTTTTATCCAAGTTACAGCAAAATTTAAAGTTTCATCTTTTTTCTAAGTAGTATTCTATTGTGTTTATATACTACCATTTCCTTATCCACTCATCCATTGTTAGGAACTTGGATCACTTCCAGTTGGTGGTATTTCTTTAATAAACACAGACCTACATATATGTTTTCGAATAAATGTTTTTGTGTTCTTGAGATATAGTCCAAGGAATGAAGTTGCTGGGTCATTTTGAAACTCTGTTTTCAGATGTTTCCAAACAGTTTCTTTAGAGATTGTAAGAGACAACAGTCCTAACAGTGAATGAATACTCCTTTATCACAACATCTTATAAGCATTTGTTAATTTCTAAATTCGTATAGGTCATTTTCACTACTGTGATGTACCATTTTATTGTCCTTTTGAGTTGTATTTTTCTTGTAATGAGTGACATTGTAAACTTTTTTTGTGTGTGCTGTATACTTGGTGGCCATTTCTTGAGGAAACAACTGTTGATCTCTCTTCCATTTTTTCATGGGATATATCTTGTGTGTTAGCCCCCCCCCCCCTTTTTTTTAAATGTAGGAGTACTGCTATTTATTCAGCCATTGATTAAGCTGTTTGAATTGGGCATGAACTTCACATTACCTTATTTTTTTAATTGAATCACTGTGAGTTACAGTTACAAAGCTTTCATGTTCTAGATTCAGCCATACAATGATCGGACACCCATCCACCAGCAGTGCACACTCTCCACCATGTCCCCAGAATATCCCCCCCTCCCTATCCCAGTCCTCACCCTGCCTTCATGGTAGTCAATTTCTCCAATTCTCTCTCTCTACTTTTGGGCATTTTGTTTTGCTTGAATTTTCCCACCACCATTTAAGCCCGTCTGCAAGGGGCAGATGCTAGATCACTTATTGTCAGTTGCTCATTTTGAATATCTTGGGTGCCACAGCTGTGTGCTTCTGGAATGCTAGATTGTAAATGGTTGGGTTCCAGGGACATTTTCGTAGGGCACTGATCCATTTTGGGATTCAGTTGGGCATCTCTAGAGCAGGGATGTTGATGTGCTAAGATGGTGCCCAGAGGCACATTGTGGGGGTGACATTCAGGCTGACGAGCAGGTGGGGAGCCGAAAAGGACAGCCCGGCACCTCTGTTGCAATGTGGCATGGAGATTTAGTCCTGGAACCTGCATACCTGGGCTTTTCTTGTGGAAGCTTTTGGTCGCCAGGATTCCATCTGGAATAGGTGGGGAGACTGCACCTGCTCGATATGGGATGCCCTGGTGAAATTGGCTCGGTATGGTGCCCAGAGAGATCTCTGGCTATGTGGTGTCTTCTGGGACTCACTGCTGTGTTTCTGGCTTTTGATCTCTTTCGAGGTTTATTTATAGTTTTCTGAAGCAAGGCCAGTAATAGAGTTTACAGGGTAGTGCTGGAGTTGCTTTATAGGGGTGACTGCTAGTGCTTCCATATGTATTGGGAAGTGGGGGGAGATAGTCCACCCCAACTCCTTTAAAGCTCTGAAATTTTAGCACAATACCCATATACCCTATTTCAAGCAGATTATATCTTGATGAGGTTTGTCCTGAGATGGTGGAGTCAGGCTAGGGGCATGGCGGTGATTTTTGGATTGTGGAAGCAAGCAGCTGCTGGGGGCTCTGCTTGAGCAGGCACAGGCCAACCTGCCCCCCTCCAGTTTACCCCAATCTGTTCAGCCACGAAGGTCTGAGATTAACTGTGGTGACTGGAGCGATAGCACAGCAGATGGGGCGTTTGCCATGCAAGTGGCCAACACCGGTTCGATTCCCAGCATCCCGTATGATTCCCTGAGCACCTCCAAGAGTGACTCCTGGGTGCGGAGCCAGGAGTAACCCCTGTGCATTGCTGGGTGTGACCCAAAAAGTAAAAAAAAAAAGTATTGTGAGATTAACTGTGGTGTTTGTTCTCTTTCAAGATTTATCTATGCGTTTCTGAGATAAGGCCAATAAATGAGTTTCTATAGCTGAGCCCGAGGTGGTCTGTAGGCATGTCTCCCATATACCTAACTGTTGGCCATTTAATTTCTTGGTAAACTTGGTCCCAGGTTGTTGGGGTCCAGCCAAAGGCACAGTGGCAATTTTGGGTTGTCAGGAAGCCTGAAGGCACCATCAGGCTGCTGATGCACTTGCCCCGCAGCTACAGGTTGACCTGTTAGTGGCATCATACCCCCATTAGCCTTTTGTTAGACTGTGGTATGGAAATACTATGTCCTATTAGTAAAATATCTTTTTATGTTAGCATTGCAAAGTGTTTTGTTTGACCTGGTCATGTTTGAGTCTTTATTTTTATGATTTTATTAATTTTTTTGGAGGAGGAGGTGGGAGCAGGGTCTAGTTTTGACTTTGTGATCAGGAGTGACCCTTGGTGGAATTCAGGGGATCTTATCTCTGTGTTGTTAGAGGAGACTTAAACCAGGTTTGTGGCTACAGCAGCTCCATGCAAGCAGTTACCTTACATTGTGTACTGTGTTTCTTCCCCTTCTTTCCTTCTTTGTTTATTTTTTTTCTTCTCTTTCTTTTTTTTCTAGCTGATGTATTTGTATAATTGAAAACATTTCTGAGGTCATTATAATGGATTATTTGCCTATAGTTTTCATTATGTAGTTTTTTCAAAATTTTATTTAATTAAAGCATCATGAATTATAAAGTTATTCAGAGTTGGGTTTTTGACATACAATATTACATCACCAATCCTACCACCTACTTCCTCCAACAGTGTTCCCAGATTCCCTTATCTACTTATCCACCCCAGCCCCAGCTTGCCATCTTGACAGACAGCTGTTAAATTTAGTTATTAAAGTTTGGGTCTTGTAATTTCAATGTTGTTTACTTTGTGGTTTGGATATTTAATTCCTTAAGATCACCAATGTACTTGGATCCTAACTCCTCCCCCCTGTTGCTTCTCATCTATCTCTTCTACACTTCCCCCTCATTTTTTTCTTCTCCTCCCTGTATTATGGATTTAAGAATGATCTAGACTTCCCCCTTTTAAACAATCGCATATCCTCATCCTGTTACTCTAAATTCCACATAAAAGTGATATCATCCTGCGTTTTTCCTTCTTGTTCTGGGCTTATTTCATTTAACATATCTTCCACTTCCATCTATGTTGCATCAAATTGCAAGATTTCATCACTCCTTACAGCTGCGCAGTATTCTACCTTCATGATACAATAATCTGTTGCTGGACATATAGGTTGATTCCAAAAGCTTTTATACTGAGTACTGCAAGAATTTGGAGGCATCTCTGCAGCTTGTTGATCTCTTCTGAGATTTATTTGTGAGTCTGTGGATAATAATAATGGTCAGTTAATAAGCTTATATGGCTCCAGTGAAGTGAAAGAGTATATTTGAAAATTTATTCCCTAACAATAAATAACTAAAAAGAAGTACTTATCATTGTGTGTAAAAAATTGAAGATGTGCTTAAAATTTTTGATTTGTGGCCACACCGATGTGCTCACTCCTGGCTATGCACTCAGAGATCACTCCTGGCAGAATTTAGGAGGACATACCTGTGCTTGAAATTGAACCCAGGTCAATTGTGTGCAAGGCAAGCATCCCTACCCACTGTACTCTCTGTCTTCATATTCAATCTATTAATATTTTGTGAATGATTAAGTTTTAATTCACCTGAGAAATCACAGATACAGACACACACACATGCACACACACAAATTAATGATGTTACTAGTATATCCTAGACTGCTGCATCTACTCTGAATTTCTCAGTTTAGTTGTCAAATGATTCATAATCTAAAATTGTCATTGTTACATAGTTTTTTTTTTTCAGTCTACTCAAAACTTGATCTCTTAATCTCTGTTTGCTAGTTTGTGTTGCAGGGACTATTGCATCACTCAATATTCCACTAGACTAAGTATGTTAAATATTTTATGAACTACTGAATTACCAATGTTTAGTGTAATTTTAGGTGGTTGTCAGCTAATAATAATAATACTATAGATATGCCTTATATATAATGAATAAATGCTTATATATAATGAATAAATGCAATGGAATATTGTCTTTTGTTTTGAATACCTTTTCTGCATATATTCCACCTTTTACACGGAGATAAAAATTTAACATTTCTTGTTTTCTTAGTTATAGAGTTTTGTTTGTATTTTTGTTTTAGTTCTAGTTTTATCAAATTCTTTGAAGAATAGAACATTTATAAAGCTATCCTAGACATGAAAATTAACCATATACTGATTAGTTGGTACATAATATATGTTTAGTATGTAGCACTGTCCTCCCATTGTTCATCAATTTGCTTGAGCAGGCACCAGTAACATGTCCATTGTGAGACTTGTTTCTGTTTTTGGCATATCGAATACGCCACAGGGAGCTTGCCAGGTTCTGCTTGTGCTGACTGGATACTCTTGGTAGCCTGCCAGGCTCTCTGAGAGGGATGGAGGAATTGAACCCGGGTTGGCTGTGTGCAAGGAGAATGCCCTTCCCACAGTGTATGTTTTACTTTGTTATTCATGTAATAAGGAAAGCAACATATAATAGAGGTCTTCCAGTTTTTCCACATTGAAAATTAAGCTTTATTAGCCATTTGCTAACATTCTTGAATTTTTTTTTTTTAGGGAAAGAAACAGAAAAGGCCAAGGAACGTTATGATAAAGCCACAATGAAACTTCACATGTTACATAATCAGTATGTATTAGCGTTGAAAGGAGCTCAGCTTCATCAGAATCAATATTATGATACCACACTTCCTTTGCTTCTGGATTCATTACAGAAGATGCAAGAAGAAATGATAAAAGCACTGTAAGATAAAAGTTCTATCTGACGTAAAATACATTCTTGAATTATTTTAACATTATTTTAAATGTTATAATGCTAGTTAATCTTTTGTGTAAAAGTTACGTACAATGTTTAAGATTCATTATTGACACAACCCAGTGGGGATTTCTGACCAGTGTTACTGTGATTGTTCTAGTTTTTCACTTCTTGTTAGCCACGAGTGCATGTTTAAGTCCTAAATCTACTGAGCCACAGAATGGCCTTTCTTTCTGTATGGTTTTTTTTTTTTTGGCTTTATTTTGTTACAATTAGCTGAAAATGTAAATTTGAAAAAAAAAAAGAAATAGTTGACAAGTATTAAGAGGACATCTCTCTTTTGATGTTTAAATCTTGAGCAACTTTGAAATCCAAAGGAAGGAATTTTTCAAAGACTTATTTGCTATTTGCATGATTTTTTTTCTAATAAAACAATAGCTTTTATTTTTTTTCTTAAATTTTTGTTAGTGAAACTCCATGAGGTACAGTTGTAGACTTACAAATCTTTGTGCTTGGGTTTCAGATATACAGTGATCTAATACATCCCTCCAATAGTGCCCATTCTTCACCACCACCAGTGCCCGTATCCCTCCCACCCCATATGCCCCCATCCCACCCTTCCTCTGTGGCAGGGCATTCCCTTTTGTTATCTCTCTCCTTTTGAGTGCTGTGGTTTGCAAAGGAGACATTGAGTGGCAGTCTTGTTCGGTCTATAGTCTACTCTCATCATGCATTTCCCATCCTGAGAGGAACCTCCCATCACCCTTTATTTGGTGCTCCCTTCTCTATCTGAGTTGCCTTTCCCCCTAGCATGTGTGGCTGTCCTCAAAGCCATGGAGTAATCCTCCTGGTACTTATCTCAGCTATTGTTGGGTGTTAGTCTCCTATTTTGTTACTTCATGGTCCACAGATGAATGCAATCTTTCTATGTCTGCCCCTTTCTTTCTGACTCATTTCACTTAGCATGATACTTTCCATGTAGTACCACTTGCATATGAATTTCATAACTTCATCTTTTTTAACAGCTGCATAGTACTCCATTATGTAGATGTACCGAGGTTTCTTTAACCAGTCATCTGTTTTCAGGCACCCAGGTTTTTTCCAGATTCTGGCTATTGTAAAGAGTGCTGCAATGAACAAACAAGTGCAGATGTCACTTCGACTATACTTTTTTGCCTCTCTGGGATATATTCCCAAGACTAGTATTGCTGGGTCAAATGGGAGCTCAATTTCTAATTTTTTAAGGATCGTCCATACTGTTTTCCAAATCCTGACTGGGCTGAACCAGTCGGCATTCCCACCAGCAATGAAGGAGAGTCCCTTTCTCACTACATCAGCACCAACACCGGTTGCTTTTGTCCTTTTGGTTGTGGGCCAGTCTCTGTGGTGTGAAATGATATCTCATTGTTGTTTAGATCTGCATCTCCCTGATGATTAATGATGTAGAGCATTTTCTCGTGTGCCTTTTAACGATTCGGATTTCTTCTTTGAGAAAATTTTTGTTCATTTCGTCACCCCATTTTTTGATGGGGTTGGTTGTTTTCTTCTAGTGGAGTTCAACCAGCATTTTGTATATTCTTGATATCAACCCCTTGTCGGATGTGTATTTGGAGAATATCCTTTCCCATTCTGTAGACTGTCTTTGTATTTTGGTCACTGCTTCTTTTGAGGTGCAGAAGCTTCTTAGTTTAAGATAGTCCCTTTCTCTATCTCTGTTTTCACTTGCTTGGCCAATGGCGTGACATCTTTGAAGATACCATTAGCTTCAATGTCATGGAGGGTTGTGCCAACTTTGTCTTCAATGTTCCTTATGGGTTCCGGTCTGATGTTGAAGTCTTTAATCCATTTTGATCTTACTTTTGTACTTGGTGTTAGGGACAGACTTTAGAAAAAGATCAACTAAAAGAGCCCAAATCATGCAGAAGGAAAGAGATTATAAAATTTAGAGCAGAAGTCAATGACATGGAAACCAAAGAAACAGTCCAAAACATCAGTGAAACCAAGAGCTGGTTCTTCGAGAAAATAAACAAGATAAACCACTAGCAACACTCACCAAAAAAAAAAAAAAAACAGAGAGAGAGAGAACCCTAATAAATCGAATCAGAAATGAGAGGGGGATATTACAACAGAAACCAAAGAAATTAAAAAGATCATCATAGACTACTTTGAAAGTCTGTATGCCACGAAACAAGAGAACCTAGAAGAAATGGATAAATTCCTGGATTCCTATCATCTCCCAAAGCTGAATCAAGGAAATTGAAACTGTAATCAAAAGTCTTCCCCAAAACAAAAGCCCAGGTCCAGATGGATTCACTAGTGATTTTTCCCAAACATTTAAAGAGGACCTATTGCCAGTCCTTCTCAAGCTTTTACAGGAAATTGAAAAAACATAAACTCTCCCAAACAGTTTCTATGTAGCCCATATCTCTCTAATACCAAAAGGAAACAAAGACACCAGAAGAAAAGAAAACTACAAGTCTATATCCCTTATGAACAGGGATGTGGAGATTTTCAACAAAATACTAGCAAATAGAATTCAACTAATCATCAAAAACATCATACACCATGACCAAGTGGGATTCATCCCGGGGATGCAAGGATGATTTAATATTCGGAAATCAATCAACATAATCCATAATATCAAAAAAAGAAAAGAAAAAAAATAACATGATCATATCAATAGATGCAGAGATCTTCCCAGCACCCTTTATTTGGTGCTCCCTTTTCTATCTGAGCTGTCTTTATCCCTAGAGTGTGTGGCTGGCCTCTAAGCCATGATGGGAGATGCCTGCTGAAAGTAATCTATGGACCAAACATGATTGCCACCCAATGTCTCTTCTGCAGACCACAGCACCCAAAAGGAGAGATAGAACAAAAGGGAGTGCCCTGCCACAGAGGCAGGGTGGGGTGGGGCATGGGGTGGTGGTGGGAGGAATACTGGGATTGGTGATGGTGGAGAATGGGCAACGGTGGTGGGATGGGTACTCGATCATTGCATAACTGAAACCCAAGCACAACAACTTGTAAGTCTACAACTGTACCTCATGGTGTTTCATTAATAAAAAAAATAGATGCAGAGAAAGCATTTGACTAGATCCAGCACCCGTTTATGATGAAAAACCTCTCCAAAATGGGGATAGAGAGGACTTTCCTCATTATAGTTAAAGCCATCTACCACAAGCCTACAGCAAGCATCATCCTCAATGGGGAAAAACTGAGAGCCTTCCTCCTAAGATCAGGGACGAGACAAGGATGTCCACTGTCTGCACTGCAGTTCAATATAGTACTGGATGTAGTTGCAATAGCGATTAGGCAAGAAAAAGATATTAAGGGCATCCAGGTAGGAAAGGAAGAAATCAAGCTCTCACTATTCGCAGATGATATGATACTATACTTAGAGAACCCTAAAACCTCTACCAAGAAACTCCTAGAAGCAATAGACTTGTATAGTAAAGTTACAGGCTATAAAATCAATACCCCAAAGTCCATGGCATTCCTATATGCAAATAGTAAAAAAGATGAAAGCGTCATGAAGAAAACAGTCCTGTTCACAATTGTGCCCCAGAAAATCAAGTAACTAGGAATCAGCTTAACTAAGAAAGTAAAGGACCTGTACAAAACTACAAAACGCTACTTCTGGAAATAAAAGAGGACACGAGGAAATGGAAAAATATCCCCTGTTCATGAATCGGGAAAATTAACATTGTCAAAATGGCAATACTTCCCAAAGCACTGTATAAATTCAACACGATCCCTATTACAATACCCATGACATTCTTCAAAGAAATGGAGCAAACACTCCTGAATTTTATATGAAACAATAAGCCCCCACAAATAGCTAATGCAATTCTGGGGGAAACGAAAATGGGAGGAATCTTCCTCCCTAACTTCAACCTCTACTACAAAGCAATAATAATTAAAACAGCATGGTACTGGACCGAAGACAGATGTGCAGACTATTGGAACAGGGTCGAATTACTGACATCTCCCCCAACCATCTAATCTTCTATATGGGGGCAAGAAATGTGAAGTGGAGTAAGGAAAGCCTCTTTAACAAATTGTGTTGGCAAAACTGGACAACTACATGCAAAAAAGTTGGCTCAGATCGGTCCCTAACACCAAGAATAAAAGTAAGATCAAAATTGCATCCATTTACTTGCCTTCAAGTAGCTTATAGTATATTTTGTCAACATGAAAAAAGAATACATGTTTATTTTGTACATTAATACAAGACAATGGGAAAAGATAAGTCATGCTTTGGTAGGGTTTGTCTTCTACATTAGATTATTTTGTTGATTTACATTTTCCCAATAATAAGATAAAATAACACTGTTTTAAATTATATAACATATAGTCTTATTTATTTTTTATAATTTTAATATATAATATGTTTTACATAAATGTATGTACTGCATCTTCATTATCCCCTCATCTGTCATTGGATGACTCCATATCCCATCTGTGTGCTAAGTGCTGCAATGAATCATGGTATGCATTTGTCCTTTTAAATTAATGTTTTTGTGTTCTTGGGTAGATTCCATGAAGTTGAAATACTGGGTCATATGGCAATTCATATATTTACTTTTCTGAAGAACTTTTATATTGTTTACTAGAAGGATTGAACCAGAAAATCATGCCTACCAGCAGTAAAGAGGGTTTATTTTCATCACATCCTTGCCAACACAGATTGTTCTTTTCTTTTCTTTTTTTTTTTTAAATTTTTTGTCATTCTCACTATTTTGAGATGATGTCTTATTCGTGTCTTGCTTTGAATTTCCCCAATTATAAGTGACTATGGGCACATTTTTATGTGCTTATTGACCATCTGTGTCTTCAAAGAAATGCTTGTTTATTTTGTCTTTCCCATTATAGAGACAGTAGTGTGTTGACTTATTGTGTAGCCTGCTACTTTTCTTTATTCATTTTTTGTTTCTTGGAATTTTTTAATACACTCTTTAGGGATATTCTTTTTTTCAGTTTGAATTACTTTGATTTCTTCATCTTGTCTGATTATAGTTTGTAGGACTTCTAATATATTGAATAAAAGTGGAGACAGTGGATTTTCTTGCTCGTGCCTGATCTCACAGATAATTATTTCAGTGTCATTGAGAAGCTTACTCGTTGTGAGTTTTTTACAGATGACCAATATTATCTTGAAGAAAGGTCCTCACTGCTGCATTTTTTTGAGTTTTTATCATGAATGGTTGTTGAAGGACTTTTGTATCAATTGCTATTATCAGATGAGAGTTATATTTCATTTAATTGATGGAATATCTTATTTATTTGGTTTGCATATTTTGAACATCCCTGGGTTAAATCCTATTTTATTGTGGTGTGTATATATATATATATATATATATATTTTTTTTTTTTTTTTTTTTTCTTTCTCAATATGCCATAGGATCCAGTTTTTAAGATTCCGTGAGGATTTTGTGTCACTGTTAATCAGGTGTACTGGTCTGAAATTTTCTAGTAGTGTGTCTGTCTACTTTTGGTTTCAGTATAATGTTGACTTTACAGATGCTGTTAGAGTGGATTCCTGTTTCTTTAATGTTTATTTATTGTTATTAATTTCAAATATTTTTTATTTCCTTTTTGAGCCAATTGTTGTTTAGTTGTGTTAGTTGTGATGTTTAGCTTTTAGGTAATTGTGGACTTTTATTCCCATCCTCTTTTTTATGATTAATTTCTACCTTCATGACATTGTGATTTGAGAGGGTGATTATTATGATTTCTATTTTTGAAAGTTCATAGATGTTTTGGGCTGGAGCAATAGCACAGCGCGTAGGGCGTTTGCCTTGTACGCAGCCAATTTGGCCGACCTGAGTTCGATTCGTCTGCCCCTCTCAGAATGCCTGGCAAGCTATTGAGAGTATCTCTCCCGCACTGCAAAGCCTGGCAGCTACCTGTGACGTATACGATAGGCCACAGTAACACGTCTCACGATGTTATTAGGCCCACTTGAGCAAATCGATGAACAACGGGATACAGTGGCATATATTTTTGATTTAGTCTGTGATCTATCATATAGAATCTCCTGTGTGCAGTAGGATATAATTTATGTTTGGCACTTTTAGGCTGGAGGATCCTGCACAGGTTTATTAAATTGAGTTTTACTGATATTCTGTCTAGTTGATCTCTTTTGATAATTAATCTCTTTTGATATTTAATGAGTCTCTGAATCAGGGTTAGTAGATGAACTTAGATGGCAGAGATGGTGAAATATGGTTGTGGACCCAATGGAACGCTGGGGATTGAACCTGTGTTGGCTGCATACAAGGCAAGTGCCATACCTGCCACTCCAGCCCTGATTTGTACTTTAAAAAATTCATTTTACCCCAACAATATTTTGATATTTAATGTAAATAATAAGGTTGTTTAAAAAACTATTTAGACACTGTAACTTACATAGTTATTTATAATAGGTTTTCAAGTGAATGTTGTTCTCTTGTCCCACCATCTCATATTCCACCATCTCCCCATTAACTCCAGATTACACCACCCCCACAGGACTTAATGATAGTTTCATTCTTAAACTTAGTTGTTTCAGTTTGCGTTCCATGATTTTGGTAGTGTTGGATCTAGTGGTTTTGTTATATGCAGATGGTCTTTATAAGCCTATTAAGCCTTTGTAACCTAAGCCCCTGACCCTTGCTTTTGTTCTAGTTTGCCTCCTCTATTTCTCTCATTTCTTTGCATTTCTGTAATATTTTGGGGGGGGGACAGGAGTGGGAGTGTGGGGGACCAAACCTGGCAGTGATCAGGACTTACTCCTTGTTCTGCAGATAGGGATTACTCACTTCAGGCTCAGGAGACCATAAGGAGTATTAGGGATCAAACTGCAGTTGGCTGTATGCAAGGCAGATGTCCCTCCTGCTGTTCTATCATGTTGCCTCTATTTCAGTAATCTAGAGCCAGTGTTTTGTCCATCTTTGGTATTTACCACTTCTAAACATGATATTCTGCATACCACAGATTACTGAGAACTTTCAGATTTTGTCCATGTCCTCCTTCCTCATTTTTAAAAACAGTTTTATTTAGATATATTTGGAGCCATATGAGGAAGGAGAATGCGATATGTTCTTTTGGGAACAGAGATTTCTGGAAAGAACATGGACTTCTCCAGAGGGGAAAAATTCTGTTCTTGTCCTTCTCACTGATTTCACTTCACACAGGGCCTTCAGTTCTATCCATCTGAAAGCAAATTATTTAAACTTTATCATTCTGTGTAGCACTGCACTGTCCTGCACTGTCTTCCCGTTGTCCATTGATTTGCTCGAGCAAATAACACAACCAGTAACGTCTCCATTGTGAGACTTGTTACTGTTTTTGGCATATTCAATGTCATGGGGAGCATGCCAGGCTCTGCCGTGTGGGCGGGATACTTTCGGTAGCTTGCCAGACTCTCTGAGAGGGACAGAGGAGTCGAACCTGGGTTGGCCACATGCAAGGCAAATGCCCTACCAGCTGTGCTATTGCTCCAACCCATGTACCACTGAGTATAGTCATCTATTGTCAAACCCTTGGGTTGTTTCCACAACCTACCTGGTTATTGTAATAAGAGTCTCAGTGAATATCAGTATGCATGTCTTTCAGATGAATATTTTTGTATCTTGTGAGTAGGCATTCTAATAATTGCTTTCAGATATATGAAGATTTGGGGAGAGGGCAACAAATGAAACTCATGCCTCAAATTCATTTGAATATTTGTATTGCTGAAGCCACTAATGACCAATTGTATTCTTCTTGAGTGTTTTATATAATTTCTTTTTGGGTTTGGAGCATGCCCAGCAATTGCTCAGGGCTTAGGTGCTTGGGAAAAGTCTGCTGTACTATCTCTCTCATCTTTCATAGCATTCTTAAAAACATTCTTTAAAAAAAGCCTCTTGGCCTTTCATGCGACTGACCTGGGTTCAATCCCCAGCACTCCATAGTGTCTCCTTAGCAATACCAAAGCAATCCCTGAGTATAACAGATGTAAGCTGTGTGTGTGTCTCCCAAACAAACAAAGTTAGTTTATCCACATTTGGGTGCTATTGAATCCAAAATTTCTATGGAACCTTACATATTGGGCATATAAGGCACACATTGCCATATTCTAGGCTATTTGAATTTATATAAAAATAGTGTTTATTTCTATAATCCCTTTTTCTTGCCATTTGTTTGTATAAAACAAGTGTTTTGTGAAGCCATTATCTCTAAAGACTGATAATATATTTCTTATTTATTTCTCTAAAATCTTTAGGGGTGTATTTAACTTGGTGAGACTTTAAAATGTTGTAAAATTTTATTTTTATTTTCAGAAAATATATATTTGATGAATACAGCCAGATAACCAGTCTTGTTACAGATGAAATAGTGAATGTTCATCAAGAAATTCAAACTTCAGTTGAACAGATAGACCCTAGCACAGAATACAATAATTTTATAGATGTTCACAGGTATGTTTAACATTTTCATCTTTGTTTCAGTATTACAGCAGCATTTTTCTAATTAGTAATTATTTTTGAATACTATTTGATTATCTTTACCAAGTTTTACTTGTTACTATTTTATTAAACTGTGTAATTGGCTCCCTTTTTACATTAATAATAGAATAGCTCTATATGTGTTCTAAACATTTGATGCTTCAATTACTTTTCCACACAATATTCCTTTATACTCTTTAAAATTGTGGGAGAAAAGGGAATGATTATATTTGCATTCTACAAATGTGAAAACTCATATTCAAATCACATGAACCGAAAGTTAATGGGTAGACTTTAATTTGATTAATTCTATTTGTGTTTACTGTATAATACACTTTTTAAATAAAATTTTAAATTTGATGAAAGATTTTGATTTATGAAGTTATTGATAGTTGAGTTTTAGGCACATCATATTTCAATACCAACCCAGCACCAATGTCATTTGCCGTTCACCACTGTTTCGATATTCTCCCTCCACCCACAATGCCTGCCCTATCCTCTCAAATATCTACTTGACAGGCACATTACGAAGTTCCAGTGCTTGCATTTTATACCTCATGTTTTCAGTGTAGTTGAGTTTCCTTTGTATTTACATCTATATCACTCACCCATATTACCAATGTAACTGAAGCTCTAATGTCTATTCACCCATACTGCCATTCTCTTCTTCCCTCCTTGATTTCTTTCCTTCTTTGTCCTCTTCTCTAAATACTGGGGTCAGGGGTCATCTAGCTATCCCCCTTCTACTACAATACATTTCCTAATCCAGTTTTCTGAATACCACAGATAGGTGAGATCACTTTGTGTTTGCCTTCTTCTTTATTACTTTAACAAACATGATATCTTCCTATTCCAACCAGATTGCAGCAAATTGTGTAATTTCATTGTTCCTTCCAGCTACATAGGATTCATTGTTTATATTGTACCACATCTTTATAATCTAGTCATCTGCCGTTGGACACCTGGGTTGGTGTAATGAATAGTGGTTTGCATGTGTCCTTTTGAGAAGAGTGTTTTTATATCCTGGTGGTTGAAGTGTTAACACAATTTTTTGTTAAAAATAATTGCTGTGGTATGGATGTGGGTCAGTAGTGAAAAACACATTACTTTATGGGTAAGATCTGGATTCAGTACACTGCATTCTAAAATATGAAATAGAAAAATTTTAAAAAACAGTTTGATTTTGGTGAATCCTAAGATATATTAGTATATTAATATTGTTCAAAATTATTTGTCATTTTTTTTTTACTAGAACAACAGCTGCTAAAGACCAAGAAATTGAATTTGATACTTCTTTGCTAGAAGAGAATGAAAACCTTCAGGCAAATGAGATTATGTGGAATAATTTAACAGCAGACAGTTTGCAAGTAATGTAAGTACTTAGAAAATAATTTCTTCTTCATTATTGGACATACTTTATCATTTGACTGGAATTTTCACTAAGTCAGAAGTTCAAATTTAATATAGTTAAACAATCTTTTTTTATTGTTTAATAATATCATAATCTTATAAATAAATGATAGGGTCTTGAAATTAACTCTTGGGTTTAATATTTTGAAACTTGACTAGATGAAATTGAAAGAACTGACAGTAGCTTTGCTGATGCACTTGATTAAGGAGACTGAATTATGATAGATTGTAATGTACTACATCAGCAATTATAGAGATAAAATTCACTGTATTACTGTATCACTGTCATACTGTTATTCATCGATTTACTCGAATGGGTGCCAGAAATATCTTCATTTGTCCCAGCCCTGATATTTTAGCAGCCTCTCCTTATATGCCTTTCCCAACGCTGCCATATTGGAGGCTCTTTCATAGTCAGGGGAAGGAAACACGATATTGTTACTGGTTTTGGCATATCGAATATGCCACAGGTAGCTTGCTAGGCTCTGCCATGCAGGCGGGATACTCTTGGTAGCTTGTCGGGCTTTCCAAGATATATATATATATATATATATATATATATATATATATATATATTATTTTCTTATTTTCCTCTGTTTTGCTGCCTACTGTCTGAACCCCATCAAACATGGTGTGGTAATTATGGAAAATGGGTAGGGGGTGTCTTATGATGTGTCCAGGAATATGTTCACTCATATGTGAAGTTTTGCACGAGTATGTGGGAAGCAGCCTGGAGTGTGGGGGTGGTTGGGTAGTGGAGGTCGGCTGTCAGGACTTGGAAGGCTCTCCCCAATCCCCCTCTGGGGCGCCCTGAGTGAAAACAGCCTGGCACGGAGTCAATGTGTTGGACTTCTGATAAGATTTCCTCTCTGTGTAAAAATTGTCAACAAAATTGAGATATAAAGAAAATACTTTCTTGGGTTGGAGCGATAGCACAGCGGGTAGGGCGTTCGCCTTACAAGCAGCCAACATGGCCGACCCGAGTTAGATTCCTCCGCCCCTCTCGGAGAGCCCGGCAAGCTACCGAGAGTATTGGATATGCCAGACACAGTAACAACAAAGTCTCCAATGGAGACGTTACTCGGCCCGCTCGAGCAAATCAACGGGAGGGCCTTTTTTTAAAAGAAAATACTTTAGCATAATAATATCTATATTTGGTGATGCCACTACTTACATCATTACTCATGACAAAAAACTGAAAACTTTTCTCTGAGATCAAACTCAAGGTATTATGTCCATTCAGTAGAGTTTAGTACTGTGCTAAATTTCTAGCAAAGCAGTTAGGCAAGGGAAAAAAAAATTCCAATTGGAAAATTGAACTAGAACTATTATTATTTTCAGATGACATGATGATATACATATTCTTAAGGAGTAAACCATAAAATTATTAGAAACAGTTTTCTGATGCAGTTCAGTCACATCTTACAAAGAAAGTGTATAAAATCTCTTGCATTTTTCTATGAAAACAATAAACTGGAAAAATATAAAGAAAGCAATACCATAAAGTAATTAAATAACTATGAATCAAATTTATAAATGTTATGAAAGACTTAGATTAAAAATAATTATGTTGTTTAAAAATTAGAACACAAAAGAAAATGAAAATATTTTTCTCTCTGATTGGGAGACTTTAAATTATTATTATTATTATTTATAATTTATTTATTTATTGAATCACTGTGGGAAAAGTTATAAAGCTTTCAGGTTTAGGTCTCAGTCCTGCAAATATCAAACACATTTCCCTTTACCAATACTTATTTTTTACCACGAACCCCAATAAAATCCCACCTCCTACCCCTCCCAATTCCTGTGAGGCAGATGAGTTCTAGTTAACACTCTATCTACTTTGACTAGATTCATTGTTTCGATAAAAGACGCACCATTATTATTTAGAGTTTACCCCCTCCCCCCCAATCAGACATGCTGAAAAAGCGTTGTGAAATGATTTGCTTTCTACAGCTGGGTTCAATAATTAAATGTTGTTGCGCGGCCGCTATAGCGGTTTTGGATTTCTGCTATTTTACTTATTAACCCTGGAAGTATTTCTACTAAAACTCAGATAATTAAGAGATTGGTTTCTGTGCTCTTGAGTCGTGGCCGTGCCCGGAGAGCCGCTTGTTGGGGGCAACTGGTGACCTTGGTAGGGCGTGAAGGACGGGCCGGAACGCCCCCCTTCCCATGAGGTTTTCATCGCCCCCCGACCCCCGGCTCATACCTGCTGTCCAGAAGGCTCCCATGCGGCCACCATCTTTCTTGCCAGAGAGGAGAGGGCGAATAGGGCAACACCCTTTCCCCTCCGGGCAGGCATGATGGTGTGGATTAGCGCATGAGACTTAAAATTATTAAAATGACTTCCCTATGTAAATAATTTTATAGAATCACCCTGAAAGTTCTAACATCATTTCTCAAGTAAAATAAAACAAACATTACAGAAATTTATATGGAACCACAAAGACCCCAAGTAGCCAAAGAAATCCAGAGAAAATTGAAAATAAAAGTTATCACATTCACAACTTTGTGCTATTTTGCAAAGATAAAACCTGAAACTGTGGCATTAAAATGAAAACAGATGTGCCCACCAGAGGAACAGAACTGATAGCTCAGAAAAAATCCCCTCCAATATATATGGACAATTCATGATAAAGGGAACCAGGAATATAAGACAGAGAAAGGTAAGCTCCTCAACAAATGGTACTGAGAAAACTTAACAGTCAAATTCCAAAGCATGAGACTGAATCACTACTTAATACTACATGCAAATTCTGTTTATTTGTGGTGTCAGGGAACCCTATAGGATGCTGGGGAATGAACCCTAGTAGGTTACATTCAAGACAAGTTCTTTATGTAGTATATCATCTCTCTGCCCCTCATATGCAATACTGAACTGAAATTTGACTAAAGACTTTTAATCCAAAATATTAAAATAATTCAAAGAAAATGTCAAAAACCTCACGATATTGCCTTCTGTTGTGTGAAAAGGCAATTTGACTTTAGAAAGAATGCAAAAGTATAATTTAAAAAATGTGATTGGGGGAGCTGGAGCAATAGTACAGTGGGTAAGGTGTTCTTGTAAGCTGCCAAGCCAAGTTTTATCCTCAGCACCCCATAAGGTTCCTGAGCACCTCCAGAAATCATCCCTGAGTTCAGACCCAGGAGTTAGAACCCCAAGCACATCTGACTTTGGCCCCCAAATAAAAACAGTTAAAAAAAGTGATTATAGCCTCCGTATGACTGATTATCTTGCTAGTATAAGGCCATGAGTTTGACTTTCAGTACCCTCATTTGCCCCACTGTTTGGAACTCCTGATATTGCAACAGAAAGTATGTGATTGCTAGCACAGTGTAAACACTGCAGCTAAATATTTGTTCAAATACTGTAACTAAAGTATTGCAGTGAAACACAGGGAATTTAAAAAAAATGGAAAAAGAAAACCTCTCTCAGAGCAAAAGAAACTGTTTTTAAATAACAACTCCTCCTACTGAATAGAACATGTTTGCACCAAACATTGTACAAAGGGCTGATATCCAAAAATTTAGTACACCATCAAAAAATGGGAAGAGGAGCTGAATAGACATTTTACTAAAGAAGAAATGACAGTGTATAATCAGTACATGAAAAAATGCTTATTGCTGTTTACTGTAAGGGGAGTTGTAATTTAAAATGAAAATGAAATATCACTTTACGTCCATGTGGATGGACAGTGTCAAAGATGTTAAGGACATCAAGTTCTAACTGGTGTGAAATAAAAGGAACTCTCTTTTGCAACAGGTAGAAATATAAATTGGTATCGTTGTGGAATATTGCATAGAGATTTCTTAAAAAATAAAAATAGGATTTCTATATGATACAGTCGTTTTACTAGTAGGCTTCTAGTTAAAGATTACAGAACTACTACTTTGAAAATATATATTCACAGTAATGTTCATTATGCCACTGTTTATAATAGCTAAATTCTGGAGACAAACCAAGACATTTAATGTCATATGGGTGGATAAAGAAGATTGATAGATGAGTAGATAAAAGCATATAGAGATATTTACTAGAATACTATTGGTGATTACAATAAAGAATTCTCTCCATGTCTTTCTTGGTCTTTGCTGGTGCGAGGGATTGAATCCAAGGTTCAAATAGGAAAGAGTTGTCCTGTACCATTGTTTCATATCCCATTCTGAAGTCTTGCCTTTTCTGTAGCATGAATAAAACTGAAGGGAGTCAGGTTAAGCAAAATACATCAGAAAAAAATGAGACCAATACAGATCATCTCTTTTGTATGTGAAAAACAAAGCAAGGGAAAAGATAATCTTCAACAAATACAAGAAACAGACCACTGAAATAAAGTCACCAAATGTGACTCTGTGTGTGTGTGTGTGTGTAGTTGGAGCTGGGGTGGAGGAGCGAGCATGACTGTAAACGGCCCACTGGTCCTGGGAGAATTATTGTATATTGGTGGTGGTGCTATGAAGTGGTAGTATTCAACCGCTAAATTATGTATAAATAGACACTTTTGTAGACCATTGTTACCCCAATAAAGGAGAAATAAATGCAAAATAACTGATTATCAATTTTACTCTTTCATATTTGTGTGTGAATGGAAGTTGCTGTGAAATCACATTTCAATATATGTGATATTATTTAGGTAGTGACTAAGTATTCTACTATTATCAAAACTAGCATGATCTCTTCGTAAGCTTTATTGTATGGCTCTTCATTGTATCAGCTACTCATCCTTTCACTAAACATTTATTCCTAAATCACATTGCTTTTTATTCAAGTATAAAACTCCCTGAAAAGATATTTGTAAATGCTGTTATTTTATGATCTGTGCATCCCTATTATGTACATTTACCCCTAACTCGTTTAAGATCTGTAATGTTTTCTTAAGGAATGGTATTAAAACTTGAGGAAAATTCTTCTTTTTTCTAGAGTTTTCTTGGACTTTCCAAATCTTGGTAAGATGTTAG